CTTGATCTATCTCCACTGCACAGTGGGGTGATAATACTTTGTTCTGAAAAGTCCTTGGAATTTCACATACCCTTTCCTTGTCCCCCAGGAGCTGTGTCACCCATGGACACTCTTTCTTTCCTACCCTCACCACTTCCTGTGCTCACCTGGATACTCCTGCTCCCTCACTCCCCTTAGCTCCCCACTCAGGAGTCTCACATTTCTTTGGCCTTCTATGGGGGCTGTCAGAACCATGTTCTGCTTTCATCTAAAGATGAGTAAATGGGGGCTGCAGACACAGGAAGGTAGAGGAGGAAATTTAGAAAATCAGCTCTAAAAGTTAAAGTTCTATAAGATAATCAAATCTTTCATATTTTCAAGAATGTCCTCCTCTTAGCGCAACTCCTCTGCCTTCTTCTCATCTCCCCACTGACGTCTGCTATGTCCACAGAAGGGGGTGAGGGTGAAGAAACAGACCCACCCTGCCAGGAAGCCTTCACATTACAGTGGCTGTCTGGGAACCTAGAACTGGGTACATAGCAGGTTGATTTCTAAGACCCTGGACAGCACATGCAAGCTAAAATCTTGCTTTTCTCTATGGGATGGTCCAGAAAGAATACCATGCTTCAAAGCAATTCTGCATACAAGGTGGTAATTGCAGCTTGGGGAAGGGACCACAAGTGAGGAGTGCCCCCAGGATGTGGATCAAGTTGCCTTGAGAGCACAATTAACACAGCAGGTTACAGACCTTACAGAAGTGGAGGCTCACAGGCCAGAGCAAAGCTCTGTGTTAGTTAATTGATTATATTAGCATAGCTAAAGAAAGACTCCATTGAAACCAAGTAGAACTATGTCTGCTTGGAATCTAGAAAGAGCTCAAGCAGAAAGGCACACTTAAGAAAGCCTTGCTAAGGGAGTCAGTCCTGAACTGTAGCAGAGGCCAGCTGTTCAATTACCCGCCCACTGGCTTAGGAGGGGATATGCAAACACCCATGCAGTCCCCAGCCTCTACCACTGATAGATCCATACACTCTTGTCTTGTCTCTGCTCTGCCTCTGCTTCCATGATAGGTAGGTTGAGACTGAGAATAGTGTGCACCCAGGAGCGAGGGTCCTGCGATTGCTTCATGAGATGGGGCATGGGACAAGAGCACCAAGTACAAGGTCAACAGAATTATCCAGACTGAAATCAACACCCCTTTTCACCCCACCTGGTTAAAGCCTTTTTACAAATTCTTTAGTAAACAGGAATCAGGTCATTAAGTTTAGAACTCTGCCCTAGAGTATGGGTGATTTAGTTGCATCAAGGATCCCCAAGGCCGCCACCAGGCTCAGTGATTTGCTAAGAGAACTCACAGGATTCCACATATAGCCATGCTCACAGCTAAGATTGATTACAGCAAAAGGATACAAAGCAATTGTTCATGAGCAAAGGGAACAGGCACATGGGGAGAAATCTAGAGAAAGCCAGGTGCAAGCTCCCAAGAGTCTGCTCCCAGTGAATTCACACAGGACGCACTTAAGTCCTCTAGCAACAAATTCTAGCTACACGTGTGAAGTATTGTCTGTCAGGGCAGCTCATTAGAGACGCAGTGCTTAAGATTTTATATTGGGGTTTTGTCATGCAGGCACCTGCTGCCTAGCATGTAACAAAACTCCAGGCTCTCAGAAGGAAGGCAGGCGTTCAGCACAAACCATTTTGTTTGTACAAACGGTGTAAGTCCACTGAGCCACCCTTATCACTGATGGAAGTTTTCCATCAATGTAGGGAATTATTCACTGGCCAAACTCCTGGATGCCTGCCAGGGGCCAACTTTGCAAACAGACCTTTCTAAGGACAGAAGTCTCAGGCAGCCATGGTGACTGTTTCTTGCACAGGTGTATACAATTAACTCATGTTATCCATACAGTAACACTATAAAGTTCTCACTCATAAGCATAGGTTCAAGCCTGAACAAATCCTTTGCTATCTTCTTAAACCTTCCTCCAGATATTGACGTGGACATTTTTTTTTCCACCAAGAGGAGCCCATGTGCTACGCCAACAAGATTCTAGTGCTCCAATTAGCCAAGTGTGGTGGTGCATGCCTGTAATCCTAGTTACTCAGGAGGCTGAGGCTAGAGGATCACTCAGGAGGCTGAGGCTTGGAGTTCGAGGATGCAGTGAGCTATGATTGCACCACTAAACTCCAGCCTGGGTGACAGAGCGAGACCCTGTGTCTATAAATAAATAAATAAATATTCTAGTGTTCCAAGTTGGCAAAACCCACCTCAATCCCACCCCTCCTTTCTACCACTTCCTTGTATCCTGGCCCTTCCCTGAGTTGGAGCTTTCAAGCCGCCCACCTGATTTGGGGTGCTAAATGTTATTCACAAACTGTCTCTTTCTCACCCTTCCGCAAGCCAGAATTGATCAGCATGGCCTTAGCCCTGGTTCCCAGACCCAGAGGAGGTCACGGTGCTGAAGAAGTGCTTCAGAGGACCCCCTGGAGGCCGCGTACAGTGAAGCCTAGAAGAGAGCCCTTCCCTCTCAGTTATTTAAAAGTGTCTCTACTCTGCTCGTCTTCTCTCCTTGCTCCCCCACCTCCTTCTACAGCTGGGACATTATTGTCTTACTTTTGCCCTTCAGAAGCAAACTGTCAACCCAGCTCAGGCTGGGGCACAGTGACCTTTTCTTTTTTCTTTCTTTTCTTTTCTTTTTTTTTTTTTTGAGACGGAGTCTGGCTCTGTTGCCCAGGCTGGAGTGCAGTGGTGCGATCTCCGCTCACTGCAAGCTCCGCCTCCCAGGTTCATGCCATTCTCCTGCCTCAGCCTCCTGAGTAGCTAGCTGGGTATACAGGCGCCCGCCACCATGTCCGGCTAATTTTTTGTATTTTTAGTAGAGACGGGGTTTCACTGTGTTAGCCAAGATAGTCTCGATCTCCTGACCACGTTATCCACCTGCCTCGGCCTCCCAAAGTGCTGGGATTACAGGCATGAGTCACCACACCCGGCCGACTTTTTCTTTAGACAGTTGTTCAAATATTCTGTGATACATGAATTGAGCCACCCTGAAGTCAACCTTGAATCTACTCAATGGTAATGACTTGATTGCTCTTGGACCCGTGGAAATCCTAATCCTCAGCCCCATTTCACACAGTGATGAAATTTTCTTTGCGCAGTTTATTTTCTTTTTTCAAAGGACGGCGTTAGGGAAGCCGTGAGGAGGAGATTACCCCTTTCTGTCTACCTAGCTCAATCAGTCCATTCATAAAGGCCAAATTGGGAGCCCCTCCACACTCAGATCATTACCTCAGTAGGAATTCCCCTTCTGCTGCGTGTGTGTGTGCGTGTGTGTGTGTTCTCCAAGTGTAGAATCTGGACTGTCTCTGTATGAGGGGCTGGGGGTGTTTCAGGACAAATGACATCATGTAGACCCGTAGAAACAGATGTTCAGACTTTCTGTACTTCATGAACTCAGTTTCGTGCCATCTACTGGAATGGAAACTGGCCAGGCCATCCGGAGGGAGCTTCTAAGACGAGTGGGTGGGACCTCACTGCTTTCCTTTCACTGAAACAGGAAGGGCCTGGGCTGGAATATCTTAGCGAGCACATCCAGAAATGGGCATGGAAAACCAATGCTCAACCCACAGACTCCAGCTCCACCGAGCAGATTTGTAAGCGAGATGCTGAAATAATTTTTCCGCTCCACTTCCCCCCTCCCCTGCCCCCAGAAAGGCATGAGATATTTTTAGCAGGAAAAATAAATGCCCCATAAAAATGAACATAAAAATACCATACGAGGGACAGGGCACCCTCCCATAGGTTTCCAAGAAACCCCTGGAGTGACCATTAAATTAAACAGGCTTTGAAGCCAGCATTGGAGGAGTGGATGGGTACAGGCCAGCCCTGGTCTGAAAAGAGCTGGGGAGGGGAATAGAAAGAAGAAACTGGCCAAAAGAATCCTGTGCTTAATGAAGGAGAGTGTGGGACTAGGGAGAAATTCACAAAGCACACCATGTGCCTCTTCTGTGAGCTCATGACCATTTTGCCTGCCAAGTCCAATGACCTTCCCTCCACGCACGTCTCCCTGACCTTTCCGTGGCATCTGATCCATTCCTCCCGCCGTTGGCCTCTGTGGAACTGTCCTTTCTTCATGCTCCTCCTACATTTCTGCCTCAAGCTTAACAGAATAAAACCTGAGGTCCTCATTTTCTTCCCAAACCTGCTTATTTCTTTATTTCCCCCTCAGTGAAAGGCATTTCCAGTTCCTCAGGCCAAAACCTTGAAGTCATCCTTGACTTCTCTCTCTCACACCCCACATCCAATCTGTCAGCTGATCCTGCTGCTCCTCTCTCCAAATACATCGGGACCTGACCACTTCTCACCCCTCCCCCATTCCCACCTGGTCCAAGCCCTCATCGTCTCTCACCTGGCTTATTGCACGGGCTTCACGCTTCACCTTCCTGCTCTGCCCTTGTCCCACTTGGACCTTGGATTCTCAACACAGACATCAGACCCATATTGTTAACATGAAAGTCAGAGGGCAATCTCTGCTCAAAGCCTTCGAAAGACTTCCAATCCTACCTAGAGGGGAACCTCAAGTCCTTACAATGGCCTTCAAGGCCTCAAGTGGTCTAGCCCTGTGTTAACTCTGTGTTAGCCCTGTGTTAACTCTGGCCTCTTGTCTTCCTAGCGAGCCCTGTTAAGCTCTGCTACAGCCACCTGGGCTCCATGCTCGTTCTCTCATCTCCAGGCCCTTGGACATGTGATTCTCTCACCCAAAAATGCTTTCCCCACCAGATGTCTTCACAACTCACTCCCTCACTTGCTTCAGGTCTTTACTTGAATGCCACTTTCTTGGTCACTCCATCTAAAACTGCAACCATCTTGAAATTAAAAAAAAAAAAAAATCCCTTCCTTCATTTCTCACCTTACCACTTATCCCCGTCTAAACTACTATAGAGGAGACTGACCGTCTTGCTCATCTTCTGCCCGCCCTCCACTAGAATGTAAGTTCCATGAAGGCACAAATCCTTGTGTCTTTTGTTTGCTTGTTTGTTTTTGCTGCTGAGTCTTCAGCAGAACCTTTTATTGAATAAATAGAATGAATGAAGGAGTGGATGTATCTGCTAAAATCCACAACCACTCCCAACCTCCCTGCTCTTGATATTGACACTAGTACTTGTCACATCTTCCAGCTCATGGGAGCAGTTCTGGCCCATGCCCCTCCTGTGCCACTAGCCTCTGACCAGACCCCGTCTCGTCCGCCATGGATCCTCCTTCTGAGAAACCCGGTGGTGTGATGAGGCAGCTGGGTCTCTGCTCAAGTCACGAAAACCAGGACAAACTTTTCAAAATGCTTCAGAGCAAGTGGCTTCGGTAAACTCCAGACCTCTGGTGCCTCATCTGTAAAGTGGGTTTAATAACACCGACATCCATTAGGTTATTGTGAGAATGACATGGGGTAACCTGTCTATCATGTTTCTCCTGGTGCCTGATAGAATCACCACTTCCCTTCCCACTGTGTTTGTGCCATTCTAAATGCCTCTGACTCTGATGGCTACCAAATTCTCTTGAGGGTCTCTTCAGTCTTTTCACTGGGCTACCCACCTTGTCCACTGCTGCATAATTTCTCCAGGTTTCTTCTTGGTTCAAAAATCTTTGTGTGGTCAGGTGCAGTGGCTCATGCCTGTGATCCCAGCTCTTTGGGATACCTAAGTAGAAGGATCACTTGAGCCCAGGAGTTTGAGACCAGTGTGGGCAACAAAGCAAGACTTCACCTCTACAAAAAATAATTTTAAAAAATTAGGTGGGCATGGTGGCACCTATCTGTAGTCCCAGCTACTCAAGAGGCTGAGGCAGGAGTATGGCTTGAGCCAAAAGTTGGAGGCTATGATTACTCCAATGCACTCTGGCCTGATGACAGAGCAAAACCCATCTCAAAAACAAGCAAAACCCCAAAGTCTTTGCATTCCTTCCAAAGGATGAACAATTACATTTAACCCAGCCACCTGGGGTTAAATATGATCAAGCCAAACACATTTCATGTGTTTTGCTCAAGCAAGCTGATTTCTTCCAGGAGCTGCCCAATAAATGCTTCAGTGAAGCCCACCATGATGTGTGTGGGGTCAGTTCATCAGCTGAGCTGTTTGAACCGCTTACAGACTTCCAAGCCCTACATGTTCTTCCTTGTCTCTGAGTCATTGTAAAAGCTGCCCCCGAACCTAGAATACCCTTTGACTCTTTCCTCTCCCCCTCTTTACCCACTAAATAGCACTGCACTCACCAGAGTCCCAGCCACTCGTGGGACTGAAGCAAGAGGATCACTTGAGGCCAGGAGTTTGAGGCTGCAGTGAGCCATGATCACGCCTGTGAATAGTCACTGCACTCCAGCCTGGGCAATACAATGAGATCCTGTCTCTTACAAAAAAGCAAAACATAAAAAATAACACCACACCTTTCAGCAGCCTTCAGGCAGACCCTCCTTTCAAAAGCCCACTGTGCCTCCTCCCCGAGGTGGGCTTCGCTGCCTCTCTGCTGTGCTCCCACCACATCCATGCTTACTCCAAAGAGGCACGTACTATATTGAATTGCATTTGCCTGTTTAGTCACCCACCTCTTCAACCCAGGCTCTGAGCCCTGGTGGGCAGGGCCCATGCCCTATTCATCTGAGTGAACTGGTGCCAAATACAATATTTGGTACATGGTAGGTGTGGAATAAAGACTTTCTGAATGAATGAGCAGGTGAGTAAGTGAGGAATGGATGATTCAATGACTAAATGAAGAAATGCAACACTCCACCAGCCCAAGTGAAGGTTTATGAGGTCATGAAAAGACTGGAAAAAGCATGCCTGTTAGGAACAGACCCAGAACAGCACCCCCCCCCCCCCCGCCCCTAACTCCTTGCCTTCTGTCCTGGTCCTCTCCTCTCCGCCCTGCACACACTTGTTTTCCATGAGCCACCTCACCCATCCCGGAGGCTTCTGTTCCCCTCTGAGAGTCACTAATTGCCAAAGCAATGGTCCCAAATTCTGTGCCAAACTTAAGGCAAACTTTTCAAAAAATTTGTTTCTTGCCTGTGCCTTTTCCATTTGAATTTTTACAGCTACCACTTCCTCCACGAGATGACTTGTCTTCTGGATTGGAGGTGTGTCTGCATTTCAGGAACAAGCAACGTTTCTCTGTGGCTGCAGGTTGTACTCTGAACCTCCACCATCGGAAAGGCAACTCCTGCTACGTCCTCTTCAGAAAGGATTTGAGCAGGTTTGGTGAAGGTAAATGCATTCCTATTGCCATGGAGACGTGGTATTTCTCAGTGACAGAGAACAGAGAAGCAAAGTTAACTTGCATCGCAATATAGTAGAAAAAGTAAAAACTCAGAGCCTGGATGTGTAGGGCAGGCATGGGGAACTTCTGGCTTCCAGCTCTTGGCTCAATTTTCTTCCAGCCTTTGGCAAACATGACAAACCATGGCTACATTAACAAAGAATGATACTTATCAGGCAGATACCAGCCTGTGCTGGAAAGGCCCCACAGCCAGTTGGAAGGCAGTGGCTGGTGACACATTTTACAAGCACGTTCTCATTGTTCTACTCTATTTCAGAATTCATTTGGGCTCCCTACGTTTCAAGTTAACTGTCTTTTTGAAATGCCTGTAGATTCTCCAGAGCCTGTGCTAAGTTTTAGGGCCTTTTCTTTTCTTTTCTTTTGCCTTTTGCCCTTGTTTTATATTGTTGACCAAAGCCATAAAGTCATAAGCTGTGAAAGATGGAAAGACCTTTAGAGATTATCTGATCTAACCCCCTCATTTTACAGGCTAAGAAGCTGTCAGAAGTGACTTTAACTTTGAATTTTACGAGGTCTATTTGTGTTGACAACATAATTGATTGCTCTGCTTCTGAGACTGAGGATTTGCAAGGGGAAATATTTTTAAAAAGTCAGTGCTCTTCCTGATGGGTGGGAAAGTAGGGTAAAAGCTTTTGTTTCCATAACTGTTTCTGTGTCACACACTCCACCAGATAGAATGCAAGACCTCTCTACCTGGTTTAAGTCTACCACTGTCAGAATAACCACAGGAGGAATGCCTGTAGACTGTTGCTACTCCCCTTAGGAAAGTATCCAATGATCAGAGGTCACTTCCCCACTTGAGGGTGTTCAGACTGACAGAAAAGACTAAAGACCTCCCAAACAATGACATATCCGAGCAGTCAACAGTACCCACTGTTCCCAAAGAGAGTTTCTCTTGGGGACTCCGGCCAGTTGGACTTCTTAATAAATCAGCTCCTGCACACAACAACTATGCATATCTCTGCCTCTGTTGAGCAGGCACTGCGTGTGGCCGAAGCAGGCTCCATGACAATGAGGCATAGACTGGTCTAGCAGCTGTAGATGCCTTAGGCTGTTGTGTATGAAGCTGGAAGGCTGATCCCTAGAATCACTCTGGAAAAGGCACAAAGTTCAGAGCTAGAAAAGCAAAATCGAAACCCGTTTGCAGATCCAATGGATAAGATCAGGAACGGCAAAGAGGTTTCACATCAACTCTGATTGGTGGTACCTGTCTGGGGTATGGTACTGAGAAGGGTTGTGAAGCCGTGAGTCAGAGGAAAGGCACAGAGCTACGGATTAGGAATGCCTGCATTAGGGCTAAGCGGGGGAGAGCAGCAAGTGTACTATGTACTTTTCTTTTTTTTTTTTAAATATCATTTTATTTTAGCCAAGAATTACCTGTATAAAGTCAAAAAGTGCTTCCAATGATGCAACACAGCAGTCCTTTTCAGGTAATCTTACCAACAGGCTCCCTTTTCTCATGGAAGAGCCATGTTAACAATAAACTTCGGCTAGACGGTGCTGTGGAAATGGTAAAATATGGAGATTATCCTGTGAAAAATTATGGGTGATTTGAGAGTAAAAGCAAGAAGCTATTGGCACGAGGCAGAATATACAGAAAATAAAACATAAACTCACTTTTGTACTCAATCCAGGATGGCATGGATTGACAAGGGTGCATGGTTGAATGGTCAACACTCTTCACCTGCCAGTGCAGAGCCCTAAAATGAACATTTAACCACCATCAAGGGTGAGAGGCAGCTCTTTGATGCTGGTGGTCGGGAGGGCGGCGGTGGTGTCAGTCTCTTTAACCAGGGCAGTGAGGGTTGGCTGAAGTATCTCGCCACCGGAAATTCTATTGTCTCAGCTCAGTTGAGGAAACCAGTAGCCTTAAATGGGGCATAAAACGGATGGACCAGGCAGCAGGTGGGGCCATCACACAGAGCAGGACTGGGATGTTCCTATCAAGGTGAAAGGAGGCCCTCCCTGTCCACTCACTGATGGTAGAGCCAGTCCAGAAGCACAAGCCCAGAAGCAACCTGGGTGTCTACATAGAGGAATGATTCTTGTCACTCCCAAGACTGTTATAGATCCCGTTCCCTGATATTCTTCCCATGTGTGTGGGACACAGGGGAGGCTGGGAAGGGTGGCACAAGTACTTTTTCTGTATCTATTCCAATCATTTAATGTTTCTTTTCTAGTTCTTACCATGGTGAGTTACACTGATTGATCTTTCAAATGTTAGGCCAACTTTACATTCCTGGGATGAAATCTACTTGGTCATGACCTATTATCTTCTTATGTATCATTGGATTTGATTCACTAAAATACTGCTAAGAAGTTTTGTGTCTATGCTTGTTGTAAGAAAATAGCCCATTGCATGGCAAGAGTGGTGCCATCTTGAATTGAAACTGCCATGATGACTGCTGTTTGACTCTTGCATGCCAAGGTGGTCTGCAGCAAGGTCTTTAAACAATGCCCATAGCTTAGATAACCCCTCATAAAGATGCTTATCTAACATCCCCAGTGGTCTTGAGTTTCACAAGAAACACAGATATGACTAGCTACCACATATTTTACCAAAAGAATTTGTTATATAACAGATATTTTCTAAAAGGTGAGTGCAGGGATCCACAGCCTAACGGCCACCCAAGACATCACTCCTGTTCGTAAGTTCCTATTAAATGTTTCTTTTTAAGAAACTGGATTTTTCAGCCTTTTTATTTAGCCTCTCAGCTCCCTCAGCCTTTGGGGGCAGGTTTACATATACCTGCTCACTGTGGAACATTTGTCTTGGTCTGTTTTGTGTTGCTGTAACAGAATATCATAGACTGGATATTTATAAAGAAAAGAGACTTATTTTGCTCACAGTTCTGGAGGCTAGGAAGTTCTATAGCATACTACCTACATCTGGTGAGGGCCTTCTTGCTGCATCATAACTTGGCAGAAGGGCAAGAGAGCATGTGAGACAGAGACGCACCAGGTGCTGGACCCACTTTTATATCTGCCCACTCTTGTGACAACTGACCCATAATAACTACATCAATCCATTCATGAGGGCTTCACCCTCATGATCCAATCCCCACTTAATAAACCCCACCTCCCAACACTGTTGCATTGGGGATTAAGCTTCTAACACATGAACTTTTGGGGGGTACATTCAGACTGACACAATGTTCATGAGAGATTCTGGACTGAAATTTTCTTTCTTATAATGTATTTGGTATTGGTATTAGACTAGCATTGAACTTAAAGCATGAGTTAGGAAGTATTTCCTCCTCTTTAATTTTCTGGAAGAGTTTGTGTAGAATTAATATTATTTCTTTCTGAAATATTTGATAGGATTTACTAGTGATGCCATCTGAGCCTGGAGTTTTCTTTCTGGGAAGGATTTTTTTTTTTTTTTTTAATATACAGTCTTGCTCTGTCACCCAGGCTGGAGTATAGTGGTGCAATCATGGCTTACTGAAGCCTTGACCTCCTGGGCTCAAGTGATCCTCTCACCTCAGCCCTCCCAGTAGCTGGGATTACAGGCACACTCCACCATGCCTGGCTAATTTTTTACTTTTCTTTTTGTAGAGACAGGGTCTTGCTATGTTGTTTAGGTTGGTCTGGAACTCCTGGACTCAAGCAATCCTCTCACATTGGCCTCCCAAAGTGCTGGGATTACAGGCATGAGCCACCATACTCAATCTCTTTGTGGGAAGGGTTCTAAGTAAAAATTCAGTTTCTTTAATAGCTATAGGGCTACCTGGATTATATATTTCTTCCTGAATGGGCTTTAGTAGTATCTTTCAAGCAATTGGTATATTTTATCTAGGTTGCTAAATTTATATGTGTATAATTATTTATACTATTCCCTTATCCTTTTAATGTCTGTAGAAACTATGTCACCTCCTATTTCTTGATATTGGTAAATTATGTTTTATCTCCTTTTGTTTTAATCAATCTGACTAGCGATTTATCAATTTTACTAATTTTTAAAACAATTAGTGTTTGGTTTCATTGGTTTTCTCTCTGGTTTTGAGATTTAACTTGCTCTTCTTTTTCTGCTTTCTTAAGGTGGAAGCAGAGGTTATTAATTTGAGACTGTTCTACATATCCCTTCTCAGCACTATTTTATCAGCATCTTTTAATATTTGGTATAATATGTGTAATTTCAAAATGCATTCTAATTTTATGTATGTTACTTTCCAGATATTTGGGGATTTTCCAGATATCTTTATCCCATTGTTTTTTGTTGTTGTTGCTTTGTTTGAGACAGGTCTCACTCTCTTGCCCAAGCTGGAGTGCAGTGGCGCAATTTCAGCTCACTGCAACCTCGACCTCCTGAGCTCAAGAGATCATGCCACCTCAACCTCCTGAGTAGCTAGGACCACAGGGTGGGCAACACCATGCCCAGCTAATTTGTGTATGCTTTGTAGACATGGAGTTTTGTCACGTTGTCCAGGCTGGTCTCAAACTCCTGGGCTTAAGTGATCCAACTGCCTTGGCCTCCCAAAGTGCTAGGATTACAGGCGTGAGCTACCATGCTCAGTTATCTTATTGTGTGTGTGTGTGTGTGTGTGGTTTTTAAATTTAATTTCATTAAAGTCAGAAAACATACTTTGAGTTGAATTGTTTTCAATTTATGAAGGCTTGTTTTATATCACAGAATATTGTCTACCTTAATACATATTTCCTATGCACCTGAAAAGAATGTGTATTATGTTGTTGTTGAGTGGAATACTCTATGAATATAAACATAAATATAGCTTGGTTTATGATATCTATTTTATTTTTCATCTTCTGTGTCCTTACTGATTTTCTACTTGTGCTATCAATTACTGAAAGAAGATTCTGAAATCTCTGACTTTAATTGTAAATTTGTCTATTTCTTCTTTCATGTTCAACCAGTTTTTACTTCATATATTTTGATCTTCTGTTACTTGGTGCAAAAAAATTGAGAATTGTTATGTCCTTTGAGACATAAATGACCCCTTTATCATTTTAAATGACCCTCTTTATCTCTGCTAATATTATTTGTCCTGAAATCTACTTTGTCTGGTATTAGTATAGATACTCCAACTTTGTTTCGATCAGAATTATTTTGATGTATTGTTTTCATTCTTTCACTCTTGATTTATTATATCTTTACATTTAAAGCAGATTGTTTGTACGCAGGATATAGGTAGATGTTGTTTTATTATCCAGTCTTACCATCTCTGCCTTTTAATTTGGCATTTATACCATTTACCTTTAATGCAATTGGCTATATGTTTATACTTTACTGTTTGATTTCTACTTATTCAATCTATTATATGTAAAGCTTTTTCTATTTTATTGACTTCTTTTGAATTAATTAAATATTTTATAAATCTTTTTTTCCTCCTTTGGGGGACTACTAGTTATGACACTGTTTCATATTTAATAGTTGTCTTAGGGTTAATTTCAAAAAGCTCTAATTACCATAATCTACATTTAAATAATTTAATATATGTATATACACATATATACACTAAAATGTGTGTGTGTGTGTGTGTGCATGTATTTCTTGAAGAGTTTCACTCTATGCTTATATATCTTAGTATTAAACAAAGACTGGAGCTGTTTTTCTACGTAATTCTCTCTTCTCTGAAATTCTGCTTTACAGCTTCTAGCTACCTTAGACTCTTTGAACTCAAATCTCTGCTCCTCAATGCAGAGAGACCACTGCGTTTTGCTTGGGATTATCCTAGTCACTCTGCTTTACAGAATGTACCTTGGGGTAGAAAGGCACAGAGAATATTGGACTTACCTCATTTGCTTCCTTTCTTTCTTGCATTACAGTCCTAATCTCCCTATTGTCCAATATTTTAATACAGTTATTCCACATGTTTTTCCAGTTATTCTCATTAAGGCAAGAGAGTAAATCTGGTTCCATGACATATTTTTAATACTCTATTGAATTCCTTGAATTAATAAGGGGGATTTTTCAATTCATTTTTATAACTGAACATGACTTATATATGTAGAGGAGCACATTTTACTTTTGAATATAAATACATACATATGTGTATATAAGTATATGATACGTGTATGTGTGTGTGTGTTCTTATCCAGTTTTAGATTAGAAAATTCTTAAAATGCTATAATGAGCTGGGAAGTTTTTTCTCTTTTTCCATTTTCTTGAATAAGATTAGGAAATGTTTCTCAACCTTTTTTTTTTTTTTCCATTATACTCACTCCCTCCCCCAGGGCCTTTTTAGGCGTATTTTTTTTCTAATCTTCCACCATAAATTTTTTTTTTTTTTTTTTTTTTTAGATGGAGTCTCGCTCTGTCGCCCAGGCTGGAGTGCAGGGACCGAATCTCAGCTCACTGCAACCTCTGCCTCCCGGGTTTACACCATTCTCCTGCCTCAGCCTCCCGAGTAGCTGGGACTACAGGCACCCACCACCTCGCCCGGCTGGTTTTTTGTATTTTTTTAGTAGAGACGGGGTTTCACCGTGTTCGCCAGGATGGTCTCGATCTCCTGACCTCGTGATCCACCCGTCTCGGCCTCCCAAAGTGCTGGGATTACAGGCTTGAGCCACCGTGCCCGGCTCCACCATAAAATTTAATACCACATACTGTATCTGTGTACCATGACCCTTTACAGGGCAGAGACTATTTTAATATGTAAGATTTTTTTTTTTTTTTACCTCCTCCCCTAAAACTAATTGATTTTAATCCCAATGAGTTTGTAAAGCTTTCACCTAGAAAACTTGCAAATGGAAAACCTTCTGGATTACAGGTTTTGGGAACAGGAGAGCTTTGATTACCATTTCACTTTTTGAATGCTTGCTGTTCTAGTTGATGTTTGTATTTCTTCTTGGGCCAATTGGGAATTTAATTTTGATCCCAGAAATACAGAGCTGGTACATACTAGTATGGCATCCTTTCTGGTGGATCAACAGTCCATCTTGATGAGTCAGTGCCTAAGATTTACGTGTTGTCGAGTAATTTAAATACTTGTAGAACAAAATCTAACTAATCTAAGATTTAAAAGATATGAAAATACAGTTATTCACAATATTTTATTTTTAAAAAATTTCTTATGCATCTGCTATTATTTCCCCATTTATAATTCTGTTTTATTTATATCATCTTTCCTTCATCTTTCCAGAAGACCATCTTGTTTGTTTATTTATTTATTTATTTATTTTGAGACGGAGTCTTGCTCTGTCACCCAGGCTGGAGTGCAGTGGCACATCTCGGCTCACTGCAAGGTCTGCCTCCCGGGTTCCCGCCATTCTCCTGCCTCAGCCTCCCAAGTAGCTGGGACTACAGGCGCCTGCCACCACGCCCGGCTAATTTTTTGTATTTTCAGTAGAGACAGGGTTTCACCGTGTTACCCAGGATGGTCTCGAACTCCTGACCTTGTGATCCCGCCTTGGCCTCCCAAAGTGCTGGGATTACAGGCATGAGCCACCGCACCCGGCCTTGTTTATCTTTTTAAAGAAGCAACTTTTAATTTTGTTATTTTGTCTTCGGTAAGGTTTTCCTTTTAATAAAAACCAGCCCCAAAATAATTTCTTTCCTAACAAAAAGCAGCCAGAAAAATCAAGCTGCAAGCATAGATAAACAAGCTGCAAGCTTGTATAGGTAAGTGCCAGCAGCTGTGCCAATAGAAAAAGAATACCTGGAAGCCAAGTGTATTCAACATGGAGGTTTCCTCTTCCCTTTGTCTCCGCGTGTTCAGATAACATGGCGCTGGCCAGGTAAAGACTCCATTTGCATAATAAAAAGTTAGGGTGGTTTGGCCAGCTCGTCACAGCCTATGTAAATGACCCACCTGGTCCAACCAATCCACTACGCCCTATGTAAATCAGACACTGCCTCCTCAAGTTCGTCTGTAAAACCAACCGCATCTCACCCTAAACCCAGAAACCCGCTCGGGCCTTCCTCTGCGAAAGGAAACTCTCTCTCCTTTCTTTCACCTATTAAACTTCTGCTTTTAAACTCACACCTTGTGTGTCCGCATCTTCGATTTCCTTAGTGCAAGACAACGAACCTTGGGTATTTCCCCAAACGACGCCACTTCAGTATTACTGTTTTTCATGTTCTTTACTTTGGTTCCTGCCCTTAATATTTCCTTATTTCTAATATCTTTAGTGTGTTCTGATTTTTCTTCTTCTTCTTGAATTAAACATTTGGCTCTTTAGTTTTCAATCTTTATTCATTCGTGATAAATTTATTTAGATTTATAAATTTCCCTCTATTACTTTAGCTATGTTCATATATTTTGGATTAAATGCCTTCAGTTTATTCTGTTCAATATTTTGTGAGCTTCTTTTTAATCTATTGATTATTTAGTTTTATGCTATTTAATATCCAGAGTTATGGGATTTTTAAAAAGTTATTACCAAGAACTGTGAAGAGTATTAAATTTTATCTTACTCGCAAGTTAACAAACCAGCCAGTCACAGTTTCAAAAATGCTGGCAGAAGACATAAGACTCCTGGATCAGAGACAAATAATTTAATTACTTCATTTTCTCATTAGTTCCCCTTGCTTCACAAGCCCCACAAGAGTGATACATACATGGGTCCAGGAGGATGCTGGAGGTGGGATTAAGTAACAGCTGAGGAACCCTGAGTTTAGGAAACTCCAATAAGGAGGCTATGAGCCAACCCACCCGACTGCTGCCCCAGTGGGAGATATTATCTTCATTTTACTGGACAGCAAACAAACCTGCCCTCTGCCATGAAGGGAGATACTATCTTTATTTTCCAAGGCTGTTTGCTATATAAACATCTTTGAAAATACAGTCCAGAACAAAAGTTAACAATGCCTCTGCTCAAAAGATATGCAGAAACATGAGAAATCCATGCAGCATTCTCTCCCAACTATTATTTTTTTGTAATTTATTTCTAACAAAATTGCACTGTGGTCAGGGAACACAGTCTGTGCAATATAGATCTTTAGAACTATTTATGCAGAAGGGTGGGGAAAGTTTCCATGAGTTTGAGCACCACACACCACACAACCTGCAGACCAACTTCATTCCCAGTATCCACACCAGGCATCTCCTCTTTCAGGGAATCTTCCTTAAATATTAGGTTGCAATCCATTTTGTTGAGGGCCTGGAGAGAAGGGGAATGAGGAAATAAATGCCTTAGGGCAACTAGTCATCATAACATATATTCTCACCAGATTCTCAACCTGGCAGGATCTTGAGGTTGCAATGATATTCTCCCCACCTCCCCAACCTTTCTGTCCCACCTTCCAACACACACACACACATACACACGCACGCACGCACACCCCTGGCATCTGGACTGCTCTTGCTAATTTCTGTTCTACGGAAGTGATGAGGCCAGAAAAGTGATCCTGCAAAGCAATGTAGGGGACAGGTAAGAGCAAAATTTATCCTCCATAGCTGCACCTACTGCCCCACCGTGTCCCAATCCCAGACTGCTATGAGCTTCTAAACCAGCTCACAACTGTCTTTGGTCTCCTCTGGCCTTCTCAGAGTTTTTATGTTAATTCCTCAGACCATGGCTTCTTTCCCACTTTCAGTTTCTCAACCCTGGCTGCATATTAGAAGGACTTGAAAGGTATTTTTAAAATGCCATTGTCCAGATTCTGCTTCTGGAGATTATCATACAATTGGTCCAAGGAGGGAGATTAGCAATAGATTTCAAACCTTCTTGGGTGATTCTAATGGGCAACAAAGGTTTCAATCGTTGTCTGTAATTTCTACTGGGTCAGTTTTGGGAAAGGGAACTCACAGCCCAGGTTTCTTAATTTTCTTGTTCAGGAACTAAAAACCTATATTTTGTTTAATGCTGAAATTATTGAACTCATATACCTAATAAATACAAATTTTAAAAAGAAGTTATCTTGATGATTTAAGATGACTATAATTTGATTACATTATCTTAAATCATTTAAAACGCAATTATAAATTCACTATGATTTTTCCCCAACACTTCAAATATTATAAAACATTCACAAATGCAATGACTACACAGCTTATTATTAATATTACACTTACACTTGAACCTATTCTAAAGTCTCAGAACAATGGACTTATTCATTTCTTTGATAATTTATGTGCTTGTTTTATACCTTCCTGGGGGATATTAGTATACTTATTTTAATATCTTCCTAGGGTTTCAGTAATATATTTTTATTTCTTCCCAGGGGTGGAGTAATATTACTAGACCCAAAAGAAAAAGTATACGTGCTTGGCCCAGCCAAGGCTGCAGGATCTGGATTACTGGCTGATCCATTTTTGGTCTGGCCTCAGGACTCATCATCAGGCTGAGTTAACTCCTGGTGTTACTACAATACAATTTTTAAAGTCACACCTTCACTTAGGTTTTATTTTTTTACAACCTGGTGTCTTTCAGGAAATGATGTACTTTTAAAATCTCACTTGGCCCAAGTTACAAAATCTTGCAAGGCCCTATCAATATGATATATTGACTTGGTCTGCTACCTTTTTAAAGAATTACATATTCCTTACTGATGTTTTATTAAAATGAGCAGGGCCATCTAGTGGTTTCATTTCCTGTGAGATGAGACATTGTGTGTGCGTAATATACTCTTTCTCTTTGGGACATGTGACTAATTCCTCTGTTTGGAAGACCCTTGCTATGGACAAAATGTTTGTGTTCCCCCCAAATGTATATGAGATTCTAACCCCAATATGATGAGATTAGGAGGTAGGGGCCTTTGGGGGTGATTAAATTATAACTGTTCTCATGAATGGGATTAGTGCCCAGGTAAAAGCAAACCCAGAGGTTTATTCATCCCCAGCACCATGTGAGGACACAGCAAGAAGGTGCCATCTATGAGAAACAGGCCCTCATCAGACACTAAATCTGCTTGCACCTTGATCTTTGTCTTCCCAGCCTCTGGAACTTTGAGAAATCGGTATTTGTTGTTTATAAGCCACCCAATCTATGGCATTTTGTTATAGCAGCCCAAATGCACTAAGACAACCCTGTTGGATCCTTCTTCTACTTGGTAATTTTGTGTGATCATTTATCTTGATTAAATATGGAATTTTTTGTTGCTTAAATTATCATATGTTAATCCCAGTACCAACCAATTCAGTCCTCCCTCTTCTTGAAGGAGGTTACTTGGTTCCATAATTTTATTTTTTCCTCAGAAATAAATATGTGCATATATATCTTTTATAAGAAAGTAATTCAATAGGAGAAATAAAATCGCCATATATAAACAATGTTCACTTGTTAAAATCCATTAACAAAAAAAACATTCATAATTGGTTACCTATTTTTTATTACAACCATATTTTTGTACTAATTATGTCAATTGTTGAGTATAATTATGAATCTGTGGACTTTTATAGACTTAACATGTTCCAAGTAACCATAATAATAATATTTCACACTAAAATTATCACAGCTTAGTCCATGGAAACCTTGAATTGGATCTTTGGCTTTTTGATATTGTCCCTAACATTTTAAAAATAAGATTTTTACTTTCTGGTAATAACAGGATATTCTAGGCTCATTCTGATTTTTTTAAATTTCTCTGAACAAAGAGTCATCTGTCCTCTGTAGAGTTCTGGTTTCTGTTACTTGACAATAGTATTAGAATGGTGGTTATGGGTGGATGCATAAAAAAGGAGACAGGCAAAAGTCCTGCCAAAGCTGTTGACCTACTTGCACTTGAAAATGGGACTTTAAAAAATAAATCATGGTTTCCAAAGATTTTTCAAATTTAAAGATGTATGTATTAGTCCATTCTCACACCACTATAAAGAACTGCCCAAGACTGGGTAATTTATAAAGAGAAGAGGTTTAATTGACTCATAGTTCCATGTGGCTGGGGAAGCCCCAGGAAACTTATAATCATGGTGGAAGGGGAAGAGGCACTTCTTACATGGCAGCAAGTGAGAGAGAGAGTGAAGGAGGAACTGCTGGACACTTATAAAACCGTCTGATCTCGTGAGAACTCACTCACTATCACAAGAACAGCATGGGGTGTCGACACCGCCCATGATCCAATCACCTCTCACCCAGTCTCTCGCTCGACATGTGGGTATTATGGGGATTGCAATTCAAGATTTGGGTGGGGACACAAAGCCATATCAATGTTATATTGCTGAACTCTACTTTCCTTACAGTAAATGGTATTATCTGATACTAAGACTTTCTCCCCAGTAATAGCAGCCAGGTTAATAAACATATATGCCCCTAACACAGTCCAAGTACTATCTCTGCTTTGAGGGCTGCAGGATAGCATGAGATAAGCTGGATATAGCATGCTCCTCTTTTCTCCTTGTCATAGGGCCTTAGCTGTTCCTTGTCAGAATAGCTTACATGCCTTGCCACATAATACCACTGGAAATAACTTTGTAGAGATTGAGATTAATAGAGGCATTTTTTTTTAACGGCCATGAAGGTCTTGGAAGATGAGGACACAAAGAAAGACTGAAATCTGCAGACATTCAGACACAAAGGGACAAAACGATGACATCCAGAGAATAATGGAATGAGAGGGAGGGAGTTGTGTTTTCATGATGAGAAATGTGTGGGAGAGTAAGCACTGAGGGGATGGAAGAGAAGATAGCAAGAGGGCTACAGAGAGATTTGGGACAAAAAACAAAGGGCGAGATGACAGATTTGGAGGAAATGATTGATGTTGAGAGAGGATTTGCAGCAAGATATGAGAAGATATGAAAAAACAATGTTGGGAGACTAAAGGAAGAAAAGTGGACAGAAAGAAGAAAAAAAAAGAGAGTGAGATGCTTACATAGTTTCTGTTTGGGACAATAAATACAAGCTGTAAATTCACTGACTGAAACAACCAGCTAGATTTGAATGGTTTTAGCTGAACTCAAATCCATTATGTAGGATATAGACTAATTAAGGTCTGAGCTCTGTGGGATTAGGGACATATTTCCATTTTCTCTTTTGCTTGGCTCTGCTGGGTATCAATCATCAGGCTCATGTTTGGCTGCAGCATCTTCAAGTCCATCTCATTGGTCATTGTAGAGTAACAGACTATGTAAGTTCAGCTACTACACCTCACTTCCCACCAACCATGGTGCCGATGACCTCTGCATTCTTACATTCCATGCTGGGATTAGCTGAAAGTCAAAGGTCTTGCTTGCCACACACATGGTTGATGAGTTCTATCATGTTACCATCTCCATCACTGTCAGCAGTCTATTCCACAGGGTGGAAGTCAGAAACAGGAATCTTACTAATACTTAAAGCCTTCAGTCTGCATCACAGTCTTATGAAATGCTTGGCTACTGGCCACCTTCTCTTCCCATACAGCAATTCATGTTCAGCTGGACACATGAGTAGTGATTAACATAGAAGTGTTGGAAGAATGACTTCCCAAATCTGCTACTCCAATGTTGGCTT